GCGTGTTACTGTACGCGCTCGATTTGATGAGAGAGGATCAAATCGTTGGCAACCGCTTTTTGTCCCCCCTTAATTTTAATTTTCTCACCAAATAAGTCTCTATATTCATGTGGAAAGTGCACCTTGATGCTGAGCTTATACATGTGTATATATGCTAGTGTCTAGTGATCACTTTCGGCCCTTGTTCATCGTTCTTTTCCTTTCCATGTTTTTTTGCCTACTAGAATTTTTTCTAACTAGATATTAATTTATGTCCATGCGTTGCACCGGGGCCATAATTTTTTTATTAAACCTCAGTAACTGGACACGGACGCGCGAGCTCTGAGGACGCGACTTCGTATCGGATGCGGGCGCGTGGATCCAATCTTTGTATCTGAACCGGGTAGGATGTGGACAATGAGACGCGTGAGCTCCATGGACTTCGTATCTGATGCGGACATGTGGATCCGATCTTTGTATCTGGACTGGGTGTCTAGGTAGGATGCAGGCACATGAGCTCTGAGTGGAGGATGGACGCAGACACGTGAGCATGCATGGATCAAGACTTGATATCACTGGGTAGACACTGACATTACAAACTTTTTAGGTGTAGAGATTAGACAACTCTCTCTCTCTCTTTACTTTAAACAAAACAAGCAAGGGCTTCGACCTAACGCTTTTTATTTGTCCACGAAAAAGTATAAGTGCTTCTAATGCTGATACCATGCCTTTAACTAAATCGTCATAAATTTACCTCAGCGATTTTCTGGTTCTAGTCTCACCTCTTGCTATGTACGCAAATCGTTGGTTCGCCTAACATACAACCTATAATCTTACTTACTACTCCCTCCGTGTAGTAATGATAATCATATTTCAAACAAGGAAAAGTCAACTTATACAAACTTTGACCAATAATTATTCGAACTATATACAAGTTTAGAACATGAAACTTGTATCAATGGTTTTGTATTCAAGGCACCTTTGAGATTATATTGATTCATTAGTAGATGACAACATATAGTAAGAGAAATTATCAATCAGAATCTATTTTGCTTGGCTTGTTTTATCATGATCAAAATACGCACTAGATAAAAAGAGTTTCAAAACTCCTTCCAATTTTGCTTAGTTGAAGGTACTAAACACAAAATTTCTAATAATTATTATTACTAAACAAAGGCTTTAAACCATGGGATCACCAGTCTGATCACATGAACACTAATTAATCTAATGTAGATTAGGATGATAACTATAACTTGTAGCCAGGTAGTCTACCATCAGTAGCAGTGGCGGAGCTGGCCAATTTGCACGCCTAGGGCCAGTGGGCCACTATGCGATTCCTTCCTGGTTGTGCCAGTGGGCCGCAAGCCGCAAGCAGGCCGGCAGGCAGCTGCTGAGCTTCAAACGCAGGCCTTCACTGATGTGTTGATGGACCAAGACTAGGGCATTTCATGGGAATAGCAACCTGGGCCATGGGAAAATTAAGAGGCTATAAAGGGAGATTTGGCCCATGCCTAGGGCCGTGGCCCTAGTGGCCTAGGCCCAAATCCGCCCCTGATCAGTAGTCGTCATAGCGGAGATCGCATAGTGAAGTATATCAATCCTCAGTGCCTCCTCTGAATTCCAGTGAGAAAGCAGAGGTCGACGGCGTTAGGGTGGTGTCGGTGTTGGCCTTCCTATTACTTAGCGTCTTGTTGATCGGATCTTGGAGGTTCCTTAGGCTAGCTAATTCCTAGAACATTAGTTTCATCGGGTGTGAGCAGCCCCTCTTATTGGTGCTGCGACTGCTGCATGATGGGGGGCCAGAACCTCAGTCGGTTAAGGGTGCTCCCGATCGCGACATGTATGGGAGCTACGTGCTCTCCTTGACTCCTTGACTCGGCTAGAGCAACAGAATGGGCGTTGGCCCATTCCATTCGTAGGCCCAAGATCAGTTTTCCAACACTTACGTCTCCTAATAATTGAGCTAGTCAATATATAAATATGTGGCTTCAATTATTTCCCTCTTCTTAATTCGCAAAAAAATTATTTCCATCTTCTTTTATACACAATTTATGCTGAAAGAAAAGCTAGCTCATACCTCATACCTCATATCATCAGATAGTATGTGGTCCATGTTAAGACCAGTACTCATCAGGTGCATAAGAGTGTCACTTCAACAGCATAACTTACTGTTAGTTTCTCTTTAGTCTAAGATGCTGTCGACCTTGCATGCTGATTATGTGACAAAACTCTCACCGTGGACAAACTTACCCTCGTCCGAAAGTAATTAATTCCACGTACGTGTGAATTTCCCTAGCCTAAAGGCGTCTGTCTGTCCACAGGGATCAGATAGATGACGACAATGCATCACTATTTCAACAGTTTCGGATGCTTTATTTGCTAGCTTTTCTGCTAGCTAACTTTCGGTTTCGTGGACAGAATCGCAGGATTTGCTTGATTTGATGGATCGCTCGACCGACGCATGATGAAAAAGAACAAATCATTGCGATATGTATCACATCCTGATCTGATAGATCAATTCATATATATTTTGCTTCATGCATGCATTCGAACATATATATATTCTTATTTCTATCAGTTAGTCAGTTTTTCAAACCGTTGACATGGCAACAGCAGAAGCATCGACGATCGATCGATCGATGCCTCAAATTAAACTTGACCACCCAATGATGATGATATCACGTTATCAGAAACTTTTTCAGACCGTGCAACCTGATTGGCCAGTGGAAGCACCTACGTGTCAGCCTTTAGTAGGACGGAGGAGAACACAATAATAATCCGCTGTAAGAGAACTCAAAGTTTGTAAAGAAAGTCAGGTTGAGACAAGTCCATGAAAACAGGGGTACTTAGTACATTATTTTGACGTACTAGCTGTTACCAAAGTTTTGCATGCATACTTTTTTTTTGCGATTACGCAGTGTACAAACTCGGACACTCACAACATACACATACTCACCTCTATGAACGCATGCACGTAAACCCTACCCCTATGAGCATCTTCCAAGATTGAGCTAGCAAATCCTCGAGATTGACAATCACCACAGACGTCTCACTATAGACGGGAACCACGCCTACCACTCAAAGCACAAAGCTATTAAATCCGAACACAGGACCTGAGGTGCTACCACTAGTACAACGATACAACATATACTGTATCACAACCACCTGCCATGCATGTAAAATTAACCAGGGGTAGCAATATATAATATATATATACCCCAGCATCATGTAAAAACTAGCTAGCTTTGGGTAAAAGGTAGGTAAAGCCCAGAGCAATGAAGTATGCATGCAAGCAGCGCTGGTGCTGTACGTGTACATGTGTAGGCCATGTTCTGTATGAGTACATATGAATGGAGCCGCGCCTGGGCCTGGGCCTGGGCCTGGGCCGTCCATGCAGCATATGATTAATCACATGATAACTGCAGACAGCCGTACATGTATGGGTAGCAGTTGTGCATATATACTGCATGCATGGGATCAGACTCATCAGACTGATTCATTCATTATTCAGTCAATTTATGAGATTCAGCTATAGCATGAATGCAGTTATGCCTGGTCCTCCATCAGCTAGCTAGCTCCTTCTCATTCAGAAATCAGAATACACGCCCTATTATTTTCAAATAAACATGATTAAATGTTTTGGAATTATTTTTCGCGCGTGCGGGAGTGCATGCGTATGTGTGTGTTGTGTGTGTGTGTTCCATTATGGGTCTACATATACATAGCACTCCGATCCCTCGGCCTGAGCCCACCAAATTATACAGAGGCAGTGGTTTTAACTTCAACTTAAGCAGGAGATCGAACTCTCAACTCTATTTTCAAGTCTTCATTAGTTGAACAATGAAAATCCAAAATCAAACTTATGGAGCTGCAAAATTCTTTCAACTTTGAAGTTTGTAACCAAACTTTGAGAACGGAAGTTAAAAGCCTCGCGATGTGATAGAGAATATATGGTGTATAGAGTTTGGTGTAGTGGTGCCGATCGGTTTAGCGGGGGAAGGGGGATACAACAATACGTACGCTCACCTCGTGTGTTTGAGAAAAAGATATATGGATCTAGTTATATGTAGCTCTTTATATATCGATCCATTCTTTGCTTCATTTCCATCTAAATCAAATGAATTGGGTTGGGTGCTCTTTACACAAGAATATTGAGCCTTGCTCAATTGGTGCACCCCCACCCCACCCCATCCTCCCCTGCCACCATTTTAATTTGGTGGCTATGCTCCATGGGTAGTGCTGAAAATGTGACACAATACCATGTGGAAACTTCATCCACAAGCCTCTTCAACGAAATCAAATACTAGATCTACTTAGAACAAGTCCAACAGTTTGGCAATTGGGTTTGGCATTCTTGTTTTTTGCCAAAAACCTCAAATTCTCCTATCCAATAGTTTGGCAATTAGGCTTGGCATTTTTATCAACTTGGCAAACACCGGTTGTTTCCGCGCATATATGCGCGCGATCGGTCCGCTTGGCAATCGATAGCGCGCACTACTCCCGCGCTATTTCCCCCCCTCGCGCGCGATCTTTCCCTTCCCGCGCCGCCGGCTTTGTTTCCCGCGAAACCCTAGGACTCTGATCGAGGGAATATCTCACGCCGCCAGCCCTTCACGCGGAACCCGAAGACCTTCACGTGAAACCCAAGGACGCAAGGCGATCTCGACTTCTTCTTGATCACACCCCGTGAGGTTCCATCTTCATCAACGTCCCAAAGGGTTGAGGTACTCCATGATCCACTCATTCAATTGTTTGTATACGATTTCCATCGTTGCTAGCTAGGGTTCTGTGGGGAGGGGATGGGCTGATGTGCTACGGTTCCCAAATAGTAGCGTTTGTCGTAGAATTGAACAAAGTTTTTTTTTGTAGCTGAGCGAAATTGTTTGTAACAAATGTCTACGTATGGTCCTTTGATCTGTATTTTTTTAGTCAGTGCGAATATATATATTGTCTTTGATCTTCTATTCGTCTTAATTTGAGACACAACATTTGTCATTCTCTTTTTTTTTAGATTTGTTCATATGGAAGATCTTGGATTGTATGCGGGCATACTCACATCAGCTGGTCATCATGTTCCTAGCTTGGACGAATTGACCTTTCCGGTCACTCAAGACACTCAGGAAACTAATAATGATCTTCCTTTTGAAGTTCAACATGATGTTGTGGAAGTGCAGGCATCTGAAGTTGCTGTTCGCCGTCGTACTGCAAAGGGTGCGTCACATAGGTCCATAAAAATTGATCAAAAGGAAGATGTAGTTATATGCTCAGCTTGGTTGAATGTTAGCAAAGATTCTATTCATGGGGCCAATCAAACTCGTTTATCATTTTGGAGAAGAATTCATGATTTCTTTGAGAAAAATAAGGAAACTCCGGCTGTCAGGACAGAGAGTTCCATTATGCGTAGGTGGCTCACTATTCAGAAGGACGTCAACAAGTACTGTTCTTGCTACGAGGCAATTGAGCGTAGGAATCAAAGTGGAGCAACTATCCAAGACATGGTTTGTTTTTGTAGTTGGTTCTTTTATTTGTTTTCAATATTTGGTTCATCTATGAATATATTAACATTTAAATGATTTTATTTGTGTAGATTAGTGAAGCATCCGAGATGTACACAGGAGTAGATGAGGAAAAGAAGTCGTTTACTCTTATGCACTGTTGGAAAAGGTTGAAGGATGAAGACAAGTGGAAGTCAAAGATGATTGAGCTGGCTGAGCAGCAGAAACAAGCCGCAAAGAAGAAACAGAAGACTAATAAGGAGTCCACGCCGAGCAATGTAGAAGCCAACAACAATGATGATCTACAAGAGATTGCAGCCCCAGGTTCTCAAGAACGAAAGAGGCCAATGGGTCAGAAGTAGGCAAAAGAAGCTAGGCGGGGAGGCGACGACGCTTGCATTGTAGCTTTGGATAAGATGTGGGAGAAGAAGGAGGTTTCTGACTGGGAAAGAGACAAGCAGAGAAAGGAGAGGTACATGGCTGCAATTGAGGTAGACAAGGCTGCACTTGAGGTACAGAAGGCTTCACTTGAGCTTGAGAAGAAGCGATTGTCAAATGAAGAAAAAAAAGTTGAAGCGGACTTGCTGAAGGAGGAGAAAGAAATAATGTTAGCGGACACGAGCTCCCTCGACCCAATGCAGCTGTAGTGGCTTGACATAATGAAGAAGAAGATACTTGCACGACATACGGCAAATTAGATTATGTTCATGTCTACCACTTTATTTACCCACCTTTGATTTTTAATCGGTCAAATATTAGATTGAGTGAACCTTTTTATTTCATTGTCATTCAGAAAACCATTTACATTCCCATTTATGCTATGTAGAATTACACACTCGAATGAAAAGTGTTCAGTACACTTGAATGAAAACACTAACAATTAAGTGAAAATACTATGTAGAATATAAATCAAGATGTTGGTTCCATCGGATATAAATCAGGATGATGGTTCCATAGGTGCTCGATGAGGTCTTCTTTCAGCTGGAAATGTGTTTCCTTCTCTCGGATCTTTTTATGCGCTTTAATAAATTCAGCTAGTGTGCGAGTAGGCTTGCCATGAGAAGGTTGCACATTTTCACCACCATTTTCGAACCGCTCATCAGGGTCGACAACTCGTTCATCTTCAACAATCATATTGTGCATAATCACATAAGCCCTCATGATCAATGCAAGTGTCTCTGTGTCCCAAATGCGAGCTGGTTCTCGAACAATGGCAAACCTAGCCTGTAGAACCCCAAAAGCTCTTTCGACATCCTTTCTCGCCGCTTCTTGCGCTCTGGCAAAATATTTCCTCTTGTTCCCCATAGGAAGAGAGATGGACTTGACTAATGTAGCCCATGAGGGGTATATACCATCGGCCAGATAATAACCCATGTTGTAATCATGACCATTAATGGTGTAGTTCACCTCTGGAGCTATACCCTCCGCCAGGTTTGCAAATAATGGAGACCGGTGAAGGACATTGATATCATTATGAGAACCAGGCATCCCAAAAAATACATGCCATATCCAAAGGTCGTGAGACGCAACAGCTTCTAAAATGACAGTTGGCTTGTTCACATGCCCCTTGTACTGACCCTGTGATTGAACTGGACAATTCTTCCACGCCCAATGCATACAATCAATGGACCCTAACATTCCAGGGAAACCTCTTTTCTCATTGAGTGCAAGTAAGCGTGCAGTGTTAGCCTCATTGGGATGTCTCAGGTATTCCTCTTCAAATATTTCTACAACTACAGCAACGAACCTACGTAGGCTCTCAAGTGCGGTGCTTTCGCCAATGCGAACATACTCATCTGTGGCATCAGCAGGAACCCCATATGTGAGCATAAGAAGAGCGGCAGTGACTTTTTGGAAGCAACTCAATCCAAGTACACCTGCAGAATTCCTTTTTTGCACAAAATAATCATCGTGTGCTTCAACAACATTCATTATGCGTAGAAAAAGGTTCCTACTCATTCTGAATCTGAAGAAAAGAAACAAAAGTTCAACAACTCGTATAATAATTAAACAAATACTATGAACCAATTTGAGGTGAAAGAACAACTACCTCCGACGGAATAAATCTGGACCATATGTCGGATTTCTCGCCAAATAATCTTGAAACATCCTCCGGTGGCCGCCTTCTCTATCCCGATGAATAACAACATGGCCAGGGACCGAACCACCACGTCTTCGTTTTCTATTCGAAAACGTGCGCACAATTCGAGCAGTTGTGAAGATGAAGGAATCATCGTCGTCTGAAGACTCGTCATCCAATTGTCTTCGTGCACGTGATTTGAAAGCCCTCATGATCGACGTATGTACGCCTGCAAATGACATATGAGCAGCTGAGAACATCAACATAACAAAAATTATCGGAGACGCAGCTTATTGATATGATATAATACGCAAGAACAATCCTATTTATTGATATCATATTTAGCCTCGCAAGTTGTTTATACAAAAGAGAAGGAAAGCATAAATTCCTTTTAGCCTCTCTCAAGGTGAACAATCCTGTTCATACGACGAATTGACATGATACAGGAATGGGAGATCGGCAGTGGACGAACCTTGGAGATCGATGACGACCTGCAGATCCGGCGGCGGCAGAATGACTCTACGGTGACACGAAGCCCTCGTTGGTTCCTGTGGCGGCGTCTCGAGACAGAGGAAACGGCGGCGACGACTGACGTCCACGGATGGCGGGCGCTAGCGACGACGAAGAAAATGCCACGACGAAGAAACACGCTACGACCAAAAGCGCGGGACAGATATCTGTGGCTGGGAAAAAAAATTGCGAATATAGTTGGGTCCACAATTTTGGGTTTTGCCAAGTCAATTTTGCCAAACACTTGGAGATGGCCTTTTTTTCCCCTTGCCATATCGTTTTGGGAGTTGGCAAACTACAACAAATGGCAAACAAAAATTGCCAAACTGTTGGACTTGCTCTTATGGATCTTAGTAGGTGTAAAGCAGTTAGCGGCTCTTCTTGGAAGGTCTTGAGTGCCCCTTTGTTTTTTTAGTCCTTTGTTTTCGGCTCGGTCCTCCTAGCAGTTTTTTCTTTAAGAGGCCTTGTACAAATCTTTGCTTATCTGGGCTCCCCTTCTTTTTAATATGACTAGCAGCTCTCCTGCCACATTCGTTTCATTTTTTGCTGCAACAAAGAGACACCATGAGCCCACCAAATTATACAGAGGCAGTGGTTGTAACTTCAACTGAAGTTGGAGAACTCCCAACTCTATTTTTCAAGTCTTTATTAATTAGTCGAAAGAAATGAAAATCCAAATCAAACTTATCTGGGCTGCAAAATTATATCAACTTTCAAATTTGTAACCAAACTTTGAGATCCAAAGTTAAAAGCCTCGCGATGTGATAGAGAATATATGATGTATAGAGCATTGTTAGGAGCCTTTGCTTATCTGGTGTGCTGCCAATCGGTTTAGCGGGGCAAGGGGGGATAAAACGGAGGATGACTCTAGTGGGCCTTGTTAGGGACTCATATGTTTCAAGTTCTTGTAAATAACATTTAATAAGAAATTAACATGAAATTATTTCTACACAATATGAATATCATTGGCCAAAGAAACATGTGTGTACAAATTTTAATTTCTATTTCAGAAAAAACAATTATGTATTATGTTCCTTTATTTAATGACTATTTATATATTATATAGATACGTTTCATGTGTGAAATAGGCACAAAGATTATGTAATATATATAATTAAGTTGGTCCTTGCCACGGTTATTTAATGGAAGTAGGTGTCATATATATGTTTCTTTCACATTCTATCGTGATGAGCTTGAGAATCAAGTGACGTAAAAAGGTGAGGAGAAGAAAATTCCTAACCGCAATCAAGTAATCACCTGATTACATGTACTAGACGCATGAAATTGTGGTACCCTCTCCTGCAGTCAAGATCACTTAATTGCATTGAGAATATACAGCACCTTATGAGTGAGCATTATTCACACAAGTTAGTTATTAGTTGTCCCATCAATGTGAAATTAACCATGATGCACTTTCATCTGTTTGTACGATGAGAGCAATCTTGCACGACTGCATTTAGAGAGACAGCTCGTCTAGAAGTAATTGAAAGTCATGAAGTTCACTTACCAACCTTTTATATCTAACTAACAAAGAATACCTGCATGTCCACATCGCTAACTATGTATATATATACGGTAAACAAAAATGCATTTGAGAAATATGTGTTACAAAGGTTATTATTGCACGCAATTGTCGGCAGGATATATAGTTGGCTAGCTAGTTCACGGTGAATATTGATGCCATCCTGGAGCAGAACAGATCTGAAATGAAGTACATCAACAACATCAAAGTACATGATAATTCCGAACGTCGATGGAATATAAATATATAATCATACATAATTGTAGAAAAATTTCCATGAAAATAGCAGCTGTAGGATCCGGATAGGCTAGCTAGGAATCTATCTATCGATCTTAATGCTGTTTTGTCAAATCCAAGGGATGGACTGGCCTGGACAAGAGGCCGTGGTCCATAGGTCTCACATGATAAGAGAGCTAGATAGGGCTGCACGACTGTCTTGTGAAGATCACTTGCCACATCTGGGGACAGGAGGCATCAAAGTCTCCCTTGGGTGTTCCTTCCCTGCCAACAAACTTTCCAATTCCGGCTCCGAGGACAAGAGATCAGTTATGACTGTGTTACATTGCATCCGTGTAGCTCTCAAGAGAGTCTTGATCAACATTGTCAGCCACAACATCGCAATTAAACCGCAACCACACAAGTCTGATCTTGACAAAAGCAAGACATAAGCGCGACCAATCTCGTTCTTTGTCCCACGCGAAGCATTTATTATTTTCGCCCGCTCAATCTCTCCATGTAGATTCAGCAGAAAGTTACTTAATAGCTGTAGTGTGTGAACCAGGCCATTTACAAGATTTATGCAATTTCCCTATTGACAGTTATATGGCACCATACCAGTACATTTTTATATTATATATATGTGGGTAGTTTTTGGTGTGATGACAAAATTTGTTTTTTTAGAACTTAATAATAAAAACAAAGCTATAGCATCTATAGAATAAATCATCGGCAAATTAAAACACATAGACCATAAACTGAGCATTAGCTACTGACAAGATTATGGCACATCATAATTAAAAAGATGCTTTGAGAGGATAGAACTGTTGCTATAGTAGTATGAAAATAGCCAGAAGGAAATATTAATAATATAATTTTTAGTAGTTATAAACGTGCTGAACTTATATAGGAGTAGTGTATTCCTGCTGAGCATATTATATTCATCAACTTGTAGTATCTTATAAAAAAAAACTTGTAGTACCAGAGCGAGGGCCCACCTGGGAGAGGCAGAAAGGGCATGAATCTACACCATGTGGTGGTGCCTGCAGTCATCGTCAACGTACCACCGGCATGGGCAGTGATCCAATAGGCAATAGCTAGCTAGGGTGGATATGGCTCATATATATAATAATATACTAGCAGGTAACCCGCGCTTCGCGCGGGGAACAGTGGACGCTGCGAGGAAAAAAAAACGGCACTGTTTCTTTTCAGGTCGGGTACTGTTTATCTGATCCGTACTGTTCATCTGCAGGAATCTGAGCAGGGAACGCGGCCGATGAACAGTAAACGCGAAGTGGCACCCCTCAGATTTATAGTCT